CGTCCCAATGTACTTTGCCCCTCACGCAAGTGAGTCGGTGTCCTTTAACATTCTGGACACCAAATTCGACATGATCTTGGGCATGTCATGGCTGCGAAGCGAGGACCACCCGGTGAACTTCTACCGCCGCACCGTTCACATTCGTGATCGGAACAAAGTACTAGTCCCATGCACGGTAGCTCCTCCTCACTCTTCAGTCAGCTGTCACGTGGTATCTGCCGCAAGCATGCAAGCTTCCATCATCAGAGACGACATCGAGGAGATGGGGGTGTGTTTTCTCCACGCCCTCCCGCCCCAAGACTCGTCATCGACAGACTCATCTTCGGATCCACGCATCACCGAACTTCTCGACGCATACAGCGACGTGTTCGAAGGCTCGCACGGAGTAGTACCGGATCGACCCATCTGCCACGAGATCATCCTCGAGGACGGGGCCGTACCTCCACGCGGTTGCATCTACCGAATGAGCGAGGAAGAGTTAAGTGTGCTTCGGGCACAACTCGACGATCTTCTGGAGAAAGGCTGGATTCGGCCTAGCTCATCGCCATACGGTGCTCTTGTTCTCTTCGTCCGGAAGAAGAACAAGGATTTGCGGTTGTGCATCGATTATCGCAAGCTCAACGCGCCGACGAAACACCGGCCCTCTCCCACGCATCGACGATCTTCTCGAGCGACTGGGCGGCTCCAAATTCTTCTCCAAGCTCGATCTCAAGTCGGGATACCACCAACTCGAGATTCGCAAGGAGGATCGCTACAAGACCGCGTTTAAGACGCGATATGGGCATTTCGAATGGTTGGTCATGCCATTTGGCCTTGCGAACGCCCCAACCACTTTCCAAGCGGCTATGACAACGGAGTTCCGACACATGCTGGATCGTTACATACTTATCTACCTCGACGACATCCTGGTGTACAGCCGGAGTTTGGAAGAGCATGTGGAATACCTGCGCACCGTTTTGGAGCGGCTACGTCAAGCCAAGTACAAAGCCAGCCGCGACAAGTGCGAATTCGCGCGGTAGGAGCTGGAGTACTTGGGACACTATGTGACGCCGAAAGGCATCCGTCCGCTTGCGGACAAGATCGAGGCCCTACGAGTATGGCTCGAGCCCACCAACACCACGGACGTTCATTCATTCATGGGGTTGGCGGGCTACTATCAGCGATTCATCATCGGATACTCCAGGATTGTCGCACCTATGACGAGGTTACAGTCGCCAAAGGTGCCATTCGTATTCGATGACGACGCACGCCGATCATTCCAAACACTTAAGACGGCTATGCTTATGGCACCCGTCCTTAGCATCTATGACCCCACACTGCCGACGAGAGTGACTACGGACGCTTCCGGCTATGGCATTGGGGCAGTCTTGGAACAGCACGACGGCGACGATTGGCACCCTGTGGAGTATTTCAGCCACAAAGTGTCTCCCATCAACTCGCTTGATGATTCAAGGAAGAAGGAGCTGCTCGCATTCGTCATGGCTCTCCAGCGATGGCGGCACTTCCTCCTTGGGCGTCGTAGGTTCACATGGGTTACGGACAACAATCCATTGACCTACTACAAGACGCAGGATACGGTGAGCAGCACGATAGGACGATGTATGTACATCATCGACCAGTTTGACTTCACACCGAAACATCTTCCCGGCCTCTCCAATCGCGCAACAGATGCACTCTCGCGAAGACCCGATCTTTGGGCTATGACACATCATGCCTTCGCATTCGACGAGGAGCTTCAGCGACACTTCATCCGGGCATATGAGTCTGATCCGGACTTCGCCACGCTGTATGCACAACTATCTTCGGATCACCCGCCGGCCAGCCACTATCGCATTGTCGACGGGTACTTGCTCCTCCACTCGAGAGGCAAGGACTTACTATGTGTCCTACACGACCGCCGTCTTCGGACTCGCCTCCTCGGCGAGTATCATGATTCACGACTCGCTGGCCATTTCGGAGTCAACCGCACTATTGCACGGCTTCGACAGCGATTCTGATGGCCCGACCTCATTACCGATGTCACTCGGTATTGCGACTCTTGCGAAGTTTGCCGACGCAGCAAGCCCCGCAACCACAATCCCTCATCGAGTTACGCCCGATGCCTATCCCACGGGAAGCTGGTCTCTCCATTGCCATGGACGTCACCGGTCCGTTTCCCCACGACCGGCTCGGGCACGACGGCATCCTCACTGTTGTGGACCGATTGAGTAAGTACGCGCGTTTTCTCCCTTCCAAGTACTACTCCACGGCTCCCGAGCTGGCACGCCTCTTGCACACCGGCTGGATTTGCGGCCATGGTGTACCGGAAGACATAGTCAGTGACCACGACACTCGCTTCATGTCGGCATTTTGGACTGCACTCATGGAGGAGTCCGGCACGAAGATGAAGCCAAGTTCGGCTCGGCATCCACAGACAAACGGGCAGACGGAGCGGGCACATCAGACCGCTCAAATGATGCTTCGTACGCTCATCCGTCCGGACCAGAAAGATTGGGTTGACCTCCTCCCCGACATCGAGTTCGCCTACAACACTTCGGTGTTTCTGGCGATCTTCGTGACTCCATTCGAGTTGCACCACGGTGGACGGAAAGGCCGGATCTTCGCCGACCTTCTCCTCCCTCGACCAGCTGACATTGACGCTGCCTGCTCTCCCGCTTCCGTCCGGAAGTACAGGGAATTGCTGACTCAAGCCCGCGCGAACATGCAAAAGGCTCAAGTCCGCATGCAGCAGCAAGCCAACAGGCGTCGCGTACCATGTCCCATCCGCGCCGGTGATCTGGTTTGGGTCTCCGCGGAAGAGTTTGCACTGGAACATGATGTTTCATGCAAACTGCTTCCCAAGTGGTTTGGACCTTGGTCTGTGACAGCAGCCGCGGGCGATGAGCCCGATGRCCCTTCATTTGTGATCAACATTCTCGAGCATCTGACGGTCCATCCAGTCTTTCACGCCTCGAAGCTGGCAACATATACACCAGCTAAGAGCGACGACTTCCCGGGCCGACGATCGCAGCACCCTCCTTCTATGGATGGCCATCAGGAAGTTGACCGCGTCATCTCCGATCGCAAGTACGGCAGCAAGCCACACCAGTACAAAGTTACATTCAGAGCATGCGATCCCGACGACACTCGGTGGATTTCAGGAGCAGATTTGAAAGCATCCGCACCGCTGATCTACGCTCACCACGAGCGACAAAGGTTAGCTAAGGGACCTCCACGACCTGCCCCTCCCACCCGGACTGTGGTCCCTCCCTCAGACAGACAGCTTCGCCCTCGCAGGTAAGCTCGGTCTTTCAAGGAGGGGGGGGTGTGGCATACTGCGTAGCCACACGGGCCCTGCAGGGCCCGTCCCGCACTTTCAGCCTAAAAGCCTAAAACTTAGGGCTTACAGGCCCCCGTCGTTCAGCCTGAAAGCTGAAATACGAGGGTCTGCAGGCCCTACTCCGTTTCAGCCTATTTCTGGGCCTCAGGCCCAGAGTTTTTCCAGCCTGAAACGGAGGGCCTTTTTCAGGCCCTCATTGTTTTCGACCACCCCTAAGACTCAGGCACGAATACAGGGTTTCGGAACAGGCCAGAAATAGCCTGTTCCTCACGAGCTTGAGCAGGAGCTGCAGCTGCAGCCCCTGCCTTCCTTCGGCATTGGCAAGAGCAGTCTCCTGGACTGCTCGCACGAGTCAGGAGGCACACGCAGTAGTACATAGGAAGTTCTCATGCACTACACGGGGAGGTAGTTGTCAGTAGGCACGAGTAGTCTTCAGGATTCGGCCGCAGTACTCAGGAGGAGCGCTGCAGTAGTCTTCAGCACTAGGCAGTAGTATTAGCGCTAGCTGTAGTCTTCAGCGCTGGGCGCCCATAGCCATAGCAGTTGTCTTCAGCGCTGGGCGCTGGTAGGTGGTAGATCGTAGAGTGGGGAGAGATACTGGCGGAGGCCAGTGGTACTTACCTGTGGTGCCATCGCTCCAGCTCCATCTTCGAGGTACCTGCATCAAGGCGCCAACTTCACAGGTTAGTACTGGACACAGAGAGAGAGAGAGAGAGAGAGTTCTTCTTCTTCCTCTTCTAAGTCCACCATCTCTTCTCACCCTCTCGCCACCTGACTTCTCAGACTACGACAGAGAGAGAAAGAGTTGTGACTTGAGACTTGACGGCATTGGATCCAGACTGGATATTTGGGATTCAGACATTTCGACGAGGGACTATTTGGGCCTGTGCCAAGACTTGGTGTTGACGACATTGCCATCATCCCTCCTCTTCGTCTAACCCCTCCTTCTTCGTCTGTGTATGGTTGGGGCTGCCGCAGTCTTCTCGTGTGAAGCGCCAGACCCCCTTCACACCAGATAATGATGATGACGATGTGTGTTCAGGGCTGCATTGCAATATTGATTGTTCGGATCATTAGTATCTAAGTCTTCCGCTGTGTTATCTTGTACTTTGTATTGAGAGGTCGGTTCTTGTTCTGGTTTGCACGTTACAGTATGCAACACTATATGTGTTGTTGTTGATCAGTATATGTGACATGATGAAAAACTCTACATGATCTACAGTCTCTCCCATACGAGCGCAAATCCTATCGATCATACCAAGAGATGAAACCCAATCATTGATGTAAATGACCTGGAAATTGAGCCCAGGTACTGATGTGTAGAAGTCTCACAGTGCTCATTCAATCCGTTGTATGTATATTCGAATCTCACCTATATCTCCAAAAAAGGGGAAACAGAGGCATTAATTACTTCCCAACTCATGGGAAGGATTGACCTCCTGGCCAAGCCACCATCAATTAAAGAAAGACATTACACCAAACAGGGCAGTAATCAAAGCGAACGAAACCCTAACCGAGAAGAGTAGTATTGCAGGGCAGGCAATAGCAAACCATCTAGCCTACCCCAATCCGCCACCAAACCATACAGAAGAATCCCATATGAAGGGTGGCGAGAAAAAAAACTGTATCCCTTGCAACGATGAGAAGCACAGCCACCCCGATGCTATAGCGCAATCCGCTGCTCCCTTGAGCATCACCAACGTCCGCGTGGTGATTGGGGTTGTTGTTGATGCAATTGTTGTTATTGTTGTTGGTATTGGTATTGGCGCCGTTGTTGTGAACAATGATGTGAGTGTCAGTAAGAACGGTATTGTTGCTGTCGTTGCAAAAAATGAGATGAGCAGCATCGCAATCGGAGGGGGGGGAGGAGATGACAAATCCGTGTTGCAGTCTTCCCCTGCCGCGGCGCGCTTGGGCTGAAATGCCATCGTCGTCATCACCGTGATAGCCGCAGTCGTCATCATCATCTTGGTTAACAGAAAAGCGGATGTTGTTGTCACCCCCGTCCAGTAGTATGGTTGATGTTGAATTGATTGTGGTATTGTGAGGAAGGATGGCGGGAAAGGCCGTCGCAGTGGCAGTGCCTTCATCACTGGTAGATCCCTCATGGGGATGAGTGATGGTGGACACAAAACCTCCCCCCACTCCCATGGCGCGAGCCTCGAGTTGGTCACGTAAATGAGATCCCTGGGCGAAAAGGGAGTTACAGACAGCCATCAGAGCATCCGCCCGCCCCCAATCAATGAGGGCATCGAGCTGGGGATCCGGCCCCTCCTCCAGCTCCCAGATGATGTCCAGCATGTCTTGATTGATGTCTGCCAACCAAGCGGCCAACGAGATTGCCCCCCCGTCAACCTCAGACCCCTTCTGCAGCTGCATAGACATCCTCCCGACAAGCGCCCGCAGAAGCTGACCGCCTACCTCCAAGAGCTCCAGCCAAACCGCCGCACCACGTTGTAAGTCATCCTTAGAATCCATGTCTCTCCCGAGGA